GTGTGGCCCTATACTTGACCTCTCACATGTTCACATAGTGATAAGTACTGCCAATCACTCGTCCTCAAATACTCCTCAGCTCTTGTGTACAATGTCTACCCTTGGACATACCTTCTTTGTGAGCCTCTTGAGAGCTACTGCTTCTCCAGATCCTCAGTGACTGCCCAGTAATAGAAAATGCAAATGCTTCCTGGAGCCATGCAGGTAATTTGTCTCAAGAGGGCCTGGTGCATGACCTTAAAGAGTGAATTGCTGGCCACTGCCCAAACATGTCCACATTTTTTGCAAAGTTAAACTGCCTCTGGCCAAACAAAAACACATTTAAGCCAAGTTTGGCTCCTGGCCACCATCTGCACTCTCACGTCTTGGCGAATTCTCTCTCAAATCACTAAGCAGCTATGATGCAGTGGAAAGACTGAGTGCTGAACAAGAAAGAAAACCTTGATTTGAAGCCCAGCTCTGCTACTTGCTAGCTGGGTGGTAATAACGAAAATAATGGTAACTTCTCAGCTTTAAATCTTCTCATCTGTATAATAAGGACAACCCTACTTACTTCACAGGACTGTTTTAAAGATTAAGATAATATACTTAAAACACCTGCCCTATAATAAGTCCTCAGTAAATTTTTCATAGCACTTGTGATTTTTTAATTTTTTGAAATATAATTGATTTGAAATATTGTGCCAATTTGCTGTACAGCAAAGTAAATCAGTTATCCTATTAGTTTTGATTATATTCTTTATTCTGCTTGTATTTATGAACAATATAGTTTAGCCTGCTTATTCTCAATGGACGAGTTTGAGCAAACTCTGGGAGATGGTGAAGGGCAGGGAAGCCTGGCATGCTGCAGTTCAAGCGGTCACAAAGAGTCAGACATAATTTAGTGGCTGAACAACAATTCATTCTATTGGGGAAGCCCATGGCTCAGCAGTAAAGAATTCACCTGCCAGTGCAGGAGATGGTTTGATCCTGGCACCTGGAAGATCCTCTGCAGAAGGAAATGGCAACCCACTCCAATATTCTTGTGTGGGAGGTCCCATGGACCGAGGAGCCTGGTGGGCTACAGTCCATGGGATAACAGAGTTAGACACGACTTAGCAATTAAACAATAACATTCATTCTATTAGACTTTGAGTTCCTTTGGTATGTTTCTTTGGGACAGGGATTAACTTCTGCAATCTTCTCCTTTTAAGTTCCTATAATACCTACTTCAGTAATTAAGTCCCTCTCACATCCACCCCAAATGTCAGTGAAAGCTTGTGAATGTCCAGAGTAGGTATCTGAAGTGACATAGTCAATTCTCAGTAGAGATGTACCTTTCAGAGGCAAAAACATGAGGACCACTTCTAATAATCCCCAAAGTTTTGCTTCCCTTCTTTTTTCCACGTAAAAAAGAACAATGATGATTGTTCCGTTGTCAAGCGGAGGCCTCTTGCTCCTTACATTTACCAGGTTTGTTAAAAGCAATAAAGGAAGTTTAAAAGTGCCATACTAGAAATTATGAAAAGAAAAAAGGAAGAGGGTTTCAGTTTTAATTTTGACAATTCAGATATAAGTTATGCTGGGATGATGTTGGTAGAAGAAGTGGGTATTAGAACAGCTAACATTAGGCGCCCAGCTCATTTTTCCCATCTGGAATACTGAGGCAAGAATAAGAACTATTATGGATCCCACAAAGCAGGTTATTAGGCAACTATCATTGCATTAGGGGAAATGGGAGGACACACGTGTATTGCCTGCCTATAAGAAGGTTAGAGGCTTTCTGCACTCCTATGATTTTATGTTTTGTCCTAACACTCTTCTTACTTTATAGGTATCCATGCCTAAGTGCCTGTAAAGAATTCACATATTGGATTTGGCCTGGTTAATATCATTTAATACACAACATATAATAATTTTAATATATTATTTATGTTAGCTTTCTTACCTTCTGAACTTTGCATCTATAGATTCATTAAATAAATGACTTTCAGGTTAAATGATCTCATTTTAGAATTGCTTGAAAATTTACCTCCTCTCCCTCCCATTAACTATGCTTTAATCCAGGGTATTTCTATTTTTTTATTTCAAAATTATAACCCTTAAAAGTAGGACAACTATGGTAACAAGTGGGTTTAGATATCAAATTTAGCTTTGGAAGTTTGTTTCTAACTAATCTAGGTTCCATATGGATAAAGAAACACTGGACCAGTCAAATGGATTATGATTGACAAGCCAGTCTTCAGTAGGGAAGAAGTAGTGATTTTGTGAAGGTACAATTTAGAATGTAATATTCAGATGTAATTTTTAAAAATTTCATTTCACTGTTCATATCTATCTTCAACAAGGAAAATGTGACTTGGTGATGCTGACATTAAAGTCCATGACAATGTTAGAACTGCACACTGGCATTATCTTTCTTGTTCACCTAAGCTTTCATCACGTTGTTGCTGTTTAGTTGCTAAACCATGTCTGACTCCTTGTGACCTCATGAACTGCAGCAGGCCAGGCTTCCCGGTCCTCCACTATCTCCTGAAGTTTGCTCAAACTTACGTCCATTGAGTCAGTGATGATATCCAACCATCTCATACTCTGTTGTCCCCTTTTCCTCTTGCCCTCAATCTTTCCCGGCATCTGGGTCTTTTCTAATGAGCTGGCTCTTTGCATCAGGTGGCCAAAGTATTGGAGCTTCAGCTTTGGTCATAAGAAAAATATAATTTCACCACAGGTATAACTTCTCTGTCATGGTAGAAAGTAATTTCCATTTAAAAGGCATATCTAATTTCTCAACTTAGAACTAAAAATCAGTTCCAAGACCTTTTGTGTAGTGTACCACCAAACTACTGTTAAAATAGAAACAAACACAGTTTCCTGCATGAATCAATTCTTTAAGAAAAACTTTATTGAAGATTATTCCCTTCAAGTTAAGTAACTATCTCTCTTATACAAAGATACCATTATTTTTGCACAGGCCAGGTAGAATTGAGCAAGAAAATAATTAACATTTAAAGGATTTCTAAAACGCATTTCTTTAGAAGAAAATTGTATATAATAATTAGTGAAAGTCGGTACTAATACTTTTTAGGAATGTCTAGTTTATAGACAATTCATTTCAAAGCATCAAATTTTATTTATTCAGAAAAACCTAATGAGGTGAAAATAGCCTTGGCAGCTACAGAAAACTCCAATGGGGTCATGGACTATACTGATGTATCTATTTTGTGCCAAATGTTTCAGAAGTTTTGAGGTGGTACACTTATCTAAGGTTTCAGAAAGCAAGAGTTTCCAGAATGATAAGGGAAAGGGGCTGACTGTACAGTATTAAAAAAAATACTAGCTTTCAATTAATATATGAAAGTGTTTTGCATGAGGAGACAGTTTCCTAGCACACAGTAAACATCCTTACAGCCCCTTGAGTCACTAAGAGGAGATCCTGAGGCCTGACAAAAGGTCTGGGCTTAAAACTTTCTTTTTTCTCTTATAAGAAGTGGTTTAAAAAGCACTCTCTGGGTCTGAGAGATCCTGGTGAATGGACTTCGGACAAGTAACTTAATTCCTTCTAGTCTGTTTCTGAAAATGGAGTCAACAATACCTGGTAGAGGTGTTACAGGAGTGTGGGTGGGATGATCTGTGTGATCATGTTATGTAAACCATAAAGCCATAGTGACTAAAAGTTAGTTACTGTTTTGTACAAGACTAGTCTAACCTTTCCTGCCTATGTCCCTTGTCTGTAAAATGGGTACAGACCAAGGTCTGAGAGCTCCTGAACTTGAGCAAGTCATTTCCCTTTCGGAAGTGTTTCCTAGCAAGGTTATTATAACATTATGAAAATCAAATGTTATCGTGTATGTAAATGCTACGACAAACATATACCAAGAACGTAATAAATGATAGCTGTTATTACTCTCTGAGGGTAAGGAGCAAACAAAAGTACTTAAAAGACTTTGGATATGTACTTAAATTCTGTACACATCAAAGGTATTTTTATTTTGCACTGTAAACTGCAAAGACGTACATGGAACGAGGAAACAAATGGCGCCTGTGATTCCCAATGGTGGGGAGGGAAGGAAGAAAGGGGGACTCAAGAGCCTCAGCGGCTTGCAATAGAGGCGGGAATGAGAAGAAAGGAGTGTGACAGAAAAAAAATTAAGTAACACTCCGAGAATCAATTCACTATTCTCCCCCCTTTCTCTTATGACCTCCAGCCTTGTTTAGACCATTTCACTCAACTTCCCAGCCCGCCATGTCGCTGGACATTTATTTACTGTACCTTCTTTACTGAGAGCCTTTCATTCCCCTCCCCTTCTAGGAGTCGTGAACTTCAGACCCTCTGCTTCCGACACCCATTCCCTTTAACTCTGTTTTTAACCAAGCTTCCCTGCATCCTTCCCTCCGCCTGAGCGGGAAGTGAGCTTGGTCGCACCGCAGGGCATCCTAGGAAATGTGGTCTCTCATACTCATTTTGCTTGGGCCTTAGGATGGGGACGACGACAAAAGAAATTGAGCTAGAACTACAACTCCCGGAAGGCAACGTGAGTGAGTCTCTTCCTGTCTGCCTCCATGCCTATTGCTTTCCTCTTCCTCCTCTCTGCGGGCACCGAACCGCTTTGCCTCACGGTACTTGTAGTTCTTTATAGACCCAAGCTCCTAGTACTTGATGGCCAGGAGAGAGGCTGAAAGACTCTAATTCCCAGAGGGCAGAGCGAAAGCTGCGCCTGCGCAGTCTCAGGGAGGGCGTGTATGTCTGTGTGTCTGAGGGAGAGAGAGCGAGAGTGAGTGAGTGTGAGTGCGGGGTAGGGTGGTGGCCGTTACGTTCGGGGCAACGGCTACGGCAGTGGAGAAGTAAGAAGAGAAACAACGTCCGGCGCTTCCGCCTTCGCTTAGGAGGAGGAGGAGCTGGTAGGGAAAGGAAAGTGATTCGCCCTGGGCCTGGACGAGACCGAGTCGGGCCGGCGGGGGTCTGGGCTATGAGCCTTTGAGGGTCGCTTGGGACGCGGAGCTAGACTCGAGAGCCGAGAGCTATGTCTCAGCCGCCCCCGCCGCCTCCGCTGCCGCCGCCGCCGCCTCCCCCAGAGGCTCCGCAGAGTCCGCCGTCCCTGGCGGCGGCGGCGGCGGCGACTCCGGGGGGGCTCTCGAAGCGGAGAGACCGGAGAATCCTTTCCGGGAGCTGCCCGGATCCGAAGTGCCAGGCGCGTCTGTTCTTCCCGGCCTCCGGTTCCGTCAGCATCGAGTGTACCGAGTGCGGACAGCGGCACGAGCAGCAACAGCTGCTGGGGGTGGAGGAGGTGACCGACCCGGACGTAGTGCTTCACAACCTGCTGCGGAACGCGCTGCTCGGGGTGACAGGGGCACCCAAGAAGAACACGGAACTGGTAAAGGTGATGGGCCTTTCAAACTACCACTGCAAACTACTGTCGCCCATATTAGCGCGCTACGGAATGGACAAACAGACTGGCCGGGCTAAGCTGCTCCGGGACATGAACCAGGGCGAGCTGTTCGATTGCGCTTTGCTGGGTGACCGCGCCTTCCTCATCGAACCGGAGCATGTCAACACGGTGGGCTACGGCAAGGACCGCTCCGGAAGCCTCCTGTATTTGCATGACACCCTCGAGGACATAAAGCGGGCCAATAAAAGTCAGGAATGCCTCATTCCCGTGCATGTGGACGGGGACGGGCACTGCCTGGTGCATGCTGTGTCCCGGGCCCTAGTGGGCCGGGAGCTCTTCTGGCATGCCTTGAGAGAGAATCTTAAACAGCACTTCCAGCAGCACCTGGCCCGGTATCAAGCGCTGTTCCATGACTTCATTGATGCCGCTGAGTGGGAGGACATTATCAACGAGTGTGACCCTCTGTTTGTACCGCCTGAGGGGGTTCCCTTGGGCCTGCGGAACATCCACATATTTGGCCTCGCCAATGTGCTTCATCGCCCTATTATTTTGTTAGATTCGCTCAGTGGCATGAGAAGCTCTGGTGATTATTCAGCCACCTTTCTTCCAGGGCTCATCCCTGCAGAGAAGTGCACCGGCAGAGATGGTCATTTGAACAAGCCAATCTGTATCGCTTGGAGTAGTTCTGGTAGAAACCATTATATCCCCTTGGTAGGCATAAAAGGGGCTGCTTTGCCCAAACTGCCTATGAATTTGCTTCCTAAAGCATGGGGTGTGCCTCAGGACCTCATTAAGAAGTACATCAAACTTGAGGAGGATGGTGGTTGTGTTATTGGAGGAGATAGAAGTTTGCAGGATAAATACTTACTTCGGCTTGTTGCTGCTATGGAAGAAGTCTTTATGGACAAGCACGGTATCCATCCTAGTTTGGTGGCTGATGTCCATCAGTATTTCTACAGGAGGACCGGTGTGATAGGAGTTCAGCCTGAAGAAGTCACAGCAGCTGCTAAAAAAGCAGTAATGGATAATCGCCTTCACAAATGTTTGCTCTGTGGTGCCCTTTCTGAACTTCATGTTCCTCCAGAGTGGTTGGCTCCAGGAGGGAAACTGTATAACTTGGCAAAAAGTACTCATGGACAGCTGAGGCCTGACAAAAATTATAGCTTTCCCTTGAACAATTTGGTTTGCTCATATGATTCAGTGAAAGATGTCCTGATACCAGACTATGGCTTGAGTAACCTGACAGCTTGTAATTGGTGCCATGGCACATCTGTGCGAAGAGTCCGAGGAGATGGGTCTATTGTGTATTTGGATGGGGACAGAACTAATTCCAGGTCCACTGGTGGCAAATGTGGTTGTGGCTTCAAACATTTTTGGGATGGGAAAGAGTATGACAATCTACCAGAAGCTTTTCCTATTACTTTGGAATGGGGTGGAAGAGTGGTCAGAGAAACAGTGTATTGGTTCCAGTATGAAAGCGATGCATCTTTGAATAGCAATGTGTATGATGTTGCGATGAAACTTGTTACCAAGCACTTTCCAGGTGAATTTGGGAGTGAAATCTTAGTTCAGAAAGTTGTCCACACTATATTACATCAGACTGCCAAAAAGAATCCTGATGATTATACTCCTGTAAATATAGATGGTGCTCATGCCCAAAGATTTGGAGATGTACAAGGACAAGAGTCGGAGTCCCCGCTCCCAACTAAAATTATTCTTACTGGACAGAAAGCGAAAACTTTGCACAAGGAGGAGTTAAACATGAGTAAAACTGAAAGAACTATTCAACAGAATATTACGGAACAGGCTTCTGTAATGCAGAAACGGAAAACAGAGAAGTTAAAACAAGAACAGAAGGGGCAGCCCAGGACTGTTTCTCCCAGTACTGTTCGTGACGGCCCATCCTCTGCACCTGCCACCCCTACCAAGGCTCCCTATTCGCCAACCACTTCTAAGGAGAAAAAGATCCGAATCACAACTAATGACGGACGGCAGTCTATGGTTACACTTAAGTCTTCAACAACCTTTTTTGAACTTCAAGAAAGCATAGCCAGAGAATTCAACATTCCGCCATATTTACAGTGTATTCGATACGGCTTTCCTCCTAAAGAGTTAATGCCACCCCAGGCAGGAATGGAAAAGGAGCCAGTTCCTTTACAGCATGGTGACAGAATCACAATCGAGATCCTGAAAAGTAAAGCCGAAGGGGGTCAGTCTGCTGCTGCCCACTCGGCCCACACTGTGAAACCAGAAGACAGTGCTGTCACCGGCAGACTGTCATCTAAGGAGCTTCAGGAGCAAGCTGACAAAGAAATGTACTCCTTGTGTCTTTTAGCAACGTTAATGGGTAAGATCAGCTTAACTCAGATGGTGTTTTGTAACTGTGAGTGTAATATACTGAGTTTTTCTCATGTCTTTGTGGAAAAAAATCTGGTCAACGTAAAAACTGATTATATATTTTAAAAGAAAATTCTTTTCTTTCGCTTTTTGACAGTTAGTGGATAGACGTGAGTGTGATTATTGCGTAAATACTGGGAAAACATAACTAAGAAAGTGAAAGTAGTCCCTTACTGTCACCAGATTATTTAAGTATAATGTATTGCTTGTCATTTTTTAAAAATCATACTGTAATGGATCCATTTACAACCTTTTTCATTTTTTACCCCTTTGGCTCTACTGAGCATGCACACCTTGACCCTTGTCATTTATTTTTAAATTTCATTTTCCTGCGTGTCATGTGATTTCAGGACTTCCTGTTTGATGAATTGCAGTTTCTGGGTTACATGCTCACTGCACTGCCACCTAATAATCTCTCATCCATTTCCTGTTCTCCCTTTCCCAGTTCATTAACTTTTTCTTGTTCGTAAATCGGGATTTGTGTTTTAAGTAATTTTCTCAGTGACTCTTTGCCATCAGTTATAATGAACTATTATAACTCATGAAAAACATAATAAACAGAGGTAGATGTTAATGGGATTGCTTAAGAAGCATTTCTTTTTAATAATTCAACACAAAGGAAAATATATTGTCAACCAAATAGGTGATTTAAAGCTTTAAATGATGGGAAATGATCCAATGGTGTGCTTTTTACATTATTTTTATTGGCTAATCTTTGTTTTTAAATTACTGTTAGTATGCTTTATTGAGGCTTAAAATAGAAGTAAAACTGAAATATATTACATATTAGAGGGGCCTTATTTTTGCTGAGATGAGATCTTTCAAGTAAAAAAGTGATCTGGGTTTTTATTGTGTTTTCTGAGTACTAAATATCAGTGAATTGGGCCTTGACCTTCCAAAATGAAGATAATTTATTTCTGGCTTAAGTTTGGGGGCCTAGTTAATAGGGGATCTATTAATAGGGGATCTATCTATGCAAATATATTATAACTTAATATTGCTGACTTTATTTTGTCAGACATAATTATTGAATTGGAGGATATGTCAAGAAATGTACTTACTTTTACATTTTTATGTACTTTACATTTTTCTCTCTTTTAAGAGTTTTTAGTTTCTTGGAGACTGTGTGCAGTAAAGGAAAAGATTGTGATTTCTGAAGTCAGAAAGTCCTGCAATTTTAATTCTGGCTTCAGTACTTGTTAACTCAGTGGTTTCAGGCAAGCTGCTTAACTGCTCAGGTCTTCAGTTGCCTCCTATACACAGGATTACCCCTTGTAGTTGATACTTAGGTAACAGTAATGTACTCCCAGAACTCTGTAAATGAAATAATACCAGCACAGAATGGGTAAACTTAGATGTATGCTGAAGGCACATTTTAAAAAACCGGTAATCTCCAGGTCAGAGATTGGTCAGGAAAAGTGGTCTTTCTCAATATAAGAGGATGTGGCCTTGGATGCCCAGCACCTTGTATAGTGCCCGGCAGGTAGTAGGCACTTTGGAAGGTTTTTTGATTGAATTAAATAGATGACATTAACATAGCTAAAGAAAGGCTGTGTCAGCAGAAATGGAATGGATGGTCAGCATTGAACATTGAAAAACAGTTGAAAAGCAGAATTTGGCACTGTTTATACAGTGCTGTACAAAGGAGAAAGATGTGACAACTGGGGCTCATGAAAATTCTGGTAACTGAAAGGTAATCTCTGTTGAGGGGCAGGACTGTTTGATCAGTCCTCACCGTGGCCTGGCTGAAAAATCTGTATCCCTTTCCCGACTCCATAGTCATCAAGCTTCTAGCCTAATCACTCATTTAGCTTCCTGATGTAAGTATTGATGTAGAGGTAACAGTGAGATAAGGATTATATTCATTTGGAGGTTGTGTTCTCCATGGAGATTAAAAATGCAGTGGCACCGGTGAGATTATGATCAGTAGTCTAAAATTCTGGCCAGCATAATAATATATTACTATTTCATAATGAAAATCAGTAAAATATGATTCTTGTTTACCATTAGTCACTTTTTGAGTTTGAATTGAGGTTTCTGGACCTTAATGTCTGAGTACTGGACTGTGGACTGTAAGGAATTGACTAAGATGATGTCTTCTTGTTAATGATCTCTTCTCTTTCCACCTCTGGCATTTATGTTGCTGCCCTTAAAAACCCACACATTTCTTTAAATCTCCTACTTCTCCTGACACAGAATTTAAGCAGAGTGCTTTGCTAATTTTATGGTGGTGTTACTTGACTTTCTGCTTTAAAGTACAAAGACAGTGCCTGACCTGTATATTAGTCCCTCTGTAAGCATTCTAATTCTCTCATAACTGTATGTGAATTATGTAGAAGATACTCTCTTTTTTGGGCCATGCTGTGGGGCTTGTGGAATCTTAGTTCCCCAACCAGGGAATGAACTTACGCCCTCGGCAGTGGAAGCAAGGAGTCCTAACCACATTACTGCCTGGGAATTCCTGGGAAGATTTTCTTAAAAGTCCTATGTTTGTAAAAAATCTCAATATGGGGATAGCTAAGTAAGTACACACAACCTTATGTGAATGAGTACTGGGAACTCTTGATGTTTAGATTGGAGAGGGCTGGAAAATGGGAAATGACAGGGTTTAATAAGAAAATTGTAAATTTCAAAGTGCAGAAATTATGAATTACCAAACGTGAGCTGAGCTGCTGATGTGTTAGTTTAGCAAATAGCTCATCAAGCTTTCTGCTGTTTGAATAGCTGGCTCCTTCTCATTTAGGTTAAAGCTTTGATACCACTTTCTTAAAGAGGTTTTCTCCTGACCACCTTACCCAGGGGTAAGGGTTTCAGAGACCTTTGCTAAACTACTCCAAGTATGTTCCCTCTGTTATGGCACCCTGTTCATTTCCCTCATAGCACCTGTTACAAGTTTTCCTGATTTTATATGTTGGTGTACTTACTACCCTATCACCTAGTACTGGCCTTGGCACTTACTAGGTGTTAAGTACATGCTTGTTGAATGAATGAATGCAGATTCTTTCAGTAAAATGTCTGCTATGAGCTAAAGACTGTGCTGTAGATACAAAGATAAATCACGCATGATCCTTGCCTTCCATAAATTTACTTGCTGGAAAAAAAAAAAAAGAAAAAAAATTTACTTGCTGGGTCTCAACTGAGTACGTCCCATACTTTTATTGCTTTTATTTATAATTTTTATGTATAGAGAAGAAGGAAGCTGGGGAATTTATATGGAATTTATATCTACTATTTGTATCAAGACAGTGAGTGCATTTAATCTTATGCTCAGTTCATGGAACAGGTCACTTTGAATCTAATGATGTTAGTTAAAAATGAAATAACAGTGTTCTTACCTGTAATATTCACAGATTTTAATCTGCTTTATCCAGACCACTTGGACGTTATTAAACAATGTTTACACTGTTCTCTTCATTATTTATACAATATGTGAGTGACTCTAACTCTGGTTTTGCAAAATATGTAATTTTTCTTATAGGCCAGCTTTTTTGGTAGATATGATAGTACATCATCCACTGTAAATACTAGGCTAATTTCTTTTTTCTTAATATTATATTCCATGAAACTTTTCATTACTTTTCTTTTTCAGGAGATAAAGACAGATTTGTGAAAAACAGTTGGTCAGTTTTATGAGAGTTTTATACTTACGTTATCAGAGTTGCTTTGGTGGAATCAAGCTACTTGTGATATTGACTCCACTTTACTGCAAAGGTTAGCATCCTTTCAGGAGTTGAGAAACTTTACTTTCTATCTTCCTGAAAGAATGGCATGAGTTTTTAATATACAAGTTTAAATTACACAGTTTTTTTTTTTACACAGTTTTTCATAATTTCGTAGTACTTTTTGATGTTGTAGCTGTCTTGGGTATTTTCAGAATCACACATGGTATTCAGACACTTATTTTTAAGATGACTTGGAGTCTGAATATCATTATTGCTTCTTGAATTTTTTCTTCAAATATTGGGTGAAGGAGACTTTCAAATCTAGATAGTGCTTAATGCATCTGTTATTCTTAACATACTATCATAACTTTTCTAATTGATTTATAAACAGCATATTTCATGGGGGAACAGTTATAAAATTGAATAAAAGGAATGCATATAGATGTATTTTAAGGTAAATATGTATATTATAAATGGTGATTTTATAATATACTTTGAAGATTAAGGTAAAGCATGATTCTGTTTCTTTTTTTCTTCATATTTTTTCAATTATAATATTACTTTTAAAAATTCAAAGAACTCAAGTATATAGGGAGTAGAATACAATAGTTCTCTTAAACACTTGTGCTCCCCAGAGAGAATCAGACTCTGTATGTTTGTGTACACATTTCCACACAGTTAGGTTTGTGTGCATGTATGTGTATGATAAATATATCTTTTAATGCTCATGATTACTCTGAGAGACGTGTAAGGGACTGAGTACAAGGAAAGGAACAAGCATGCCTTTCTTAGAAATGGTTTTGACAGTAAGGTGGATGCTGGCTCAGCTGGTAAAGTGTCTGCTTACAATGCGAGAGACTCAGGTTCAATCCCTGGGTCGAGAATATCCCCTGGAGAGGGAAATGGTAACCCCCTCTATTATTCTTGCCTGGAAAATCCCATGGACAGAGGAGCCTGGTGGGCTGTAGTCCATGGAGTCACAAAGAGTAGGACAGGACTGAGCGACTTCACTTTCACTTTTCTTTCAAGGTAGATAAAATTTTAGATGGCAGAATCTGCAGGAAGGGTAGAGAGATGGCAACAATTTTTTCAGCTAATGAACACCTTTAGACTTTTTTCTAGTAGAAACAGCCCCATGTTCCTAGTTTAAATGTACATTTTGGTCAGTTTATTTTATGGTGATAGGTACTTGAGTTCAGAATTAACTTAGATATTTGGGGGGAGGGACTCTAATATTTCAAAATGAATTTTTTCTTTTTTTTAATAACTATATTTCACATATGTTAGATTTTAAAATCTTACTTGCTTTATAAATTGCCACGTAGAAACTTCAGATTGCCTTTTTAAATATCTAAAGTTAAAAAATAAATAAATAAATATCTAAAGTTAGAAAATTGGAATGATGACCTTTTAAACTCACTTTTAGTCTCATTATTTTATTAGTGATTAACTGATTTTTTTCTAGATTTTAGAAAAAAGTCATATTTAAAAAATAATTTATTTTAACATACTTTAAAAATTTTATTTCTTTTTAAAGAGGAAGAAAATTAGACAATGAAAGGGAAAATCATCCATACTATCACTGCCGTATAGTAATAACTACTGTCGGGTAGGAGAATTAAAGACTATTAGGAAGGATTCGAGGAAGACAGGGTATGAACAGAGGTTTTCTATGGTTGTATTATAGACTTTTTTGTACAGTTGTGCACAGTATGTTCAATGTAAGTATTTTACTGTTGTAATATGCAGAAGCAGCTGAATTAAAATAAAATTAAGTGGGGGCTGTCAGAAGAATATGAATTAACATCTGGTAGATGCTTTGCCAGACTAGGGATTCCCTGGCGGCTTACTCGGTAAAGCGTATGCCCGCAATGCGGGAGACCCGGCTTTGATCCCTGGGTCTGACCCCTGGGTTGGGAAGATCCCCTGGAGAAGGAAATGGCAACCCACTCCAGTACTCTTGCCTAGAAAATTCCATGGATGGAAGAGCCTGGTGGGCTACAGTCCATGGTCACAGAGTTGGACACGACTGAGTGACTTCACTTCACTTTACCAGACTAGTCCTCTTCTCTAAGAATTTGCTTTCCAGTGAAATGGTAGAAAGTAATTCTACCCCCTCTTCTTTTTTTTAAAGAGTACTCTTTTAGCAGTTTTCAAATACAATATTATTAACTATGGTCACCATGATATATGTTACATTACTGTGATTTGTTTATTTTTTAACTCCCAAGTTTGTACCTAAAAGTCTTTACCTTTGTTTTTGCTATGATTTTATTAAATTCATGAAGAGGTATACAGTTAGTACCATTAGTTAACATTTTATCCATATAGCATTATAGAACAGTTGTCATTATAGTGCTTCAGCTAAGTTTTTTCATGGACTCCTCTCAGGCATTATTAAAAGAAAAAGCTTCATTTGTACTATTTATTCATTACATGAATTCTAAGTGCTCCTGTCTCTGCAGCATTGTGCCAGGGCCTGGAAGTAGAAAGTCAAATGGGCCACTGACCTTTTCCTGACTCTGCAGAGCTTCTGGTATAGAATGGGAAACAGAAAAGTTAACTGAGTCAACCTGCCTTGTGATCAGGGCTGTCGTGTTCATAACATAGGAGCAGCAAGGAAGGAACTTTGCTACCCACCTCTGAAGAATCCTAGAGGAAGTGACACCTAAGTTGAGTTTTAAAGAATGCATAGCTATTATTGGCCTTTGGGAAAATGGAGCAGTTTGGTGGTTTGCTTTGTAGAAATCAAGATTTAATGAGAGAGGTGAGGTGAGAGTGAGGACAAGAATCTTAGGCTGACTTATATGCCATGAAAAGGGACTAGACCTTTTGCCTTATCGTATGGGGGAACCATTAACGGTTTAACTCTGGAGGCTGTGTGGAGGAGGGACTTGGGGAGAAGAAGATTAGAGTGAAAACCAAGGATGAGGCAGTAGCAGCCCTTCAGGCAGGAGACAGGCCTAAACCAGGGCAGTTCTAGAAGGGATGGGGAACTGTCTGTGACTGATGGGAGACTTACGCTGTGTCACATTTCCTGCTTTCTGATCTGTAATCCCTTTCCTTGGTTCTTTTACAACAAACTTGACTTCAGTGGAAGTGTATATATTAACACCAAAGGAAATAATTTGCCTTTCTTTTTTGTTCCAATCAATCATTGATGCCGTGGGTTTCTATAAGAAGAGAGTGTGTTGATGGTTATGCCAAATTTGTTCTAACATAATTTGACCTTTAGTAGAGATTTAGTAACCGTGGAAAGGGTTTAAGCTGTAGAATGTACCCAGGATTGAAATCCAGGCTTTGCCACTTAATGGCTATTTGATCTTGGGAGAATGATTTACACTCTCTGAGCTTGTCTCTTCTGTGAAATAGGGTTCAGTTGTGAGGAGAAGACGAAGCCATGTGAGGTGCCTGCTCAGAGCTGAGTGGTGGTTGTTGTTTAGTCGCTAAGTCATGTCCGACTCTTGTGCCCCATGGACTATAGCCACCAGGCTTCTCTGTCAGTGGAATTTTCCAGGCAAGAATACTGGAGCAGGTTGCCATTTCCTCCTCCAGGGGATCTTCCTGATGCAGGGATTCAACCAGCAGCTCCTGAGGCTCCTGCATTTCAGGGAGATTCTTTACCACTTGAGCCATCTAGGAGGCATTTAGATGGTATCTATCCTTTCCTTAAAGCAACAGAGTACGCATACTTACTGGGGCCATGGAGTCTGAAGGCGGTGAGACTTGGTTCTTGGGGGAGGGCAAAATAAATCTTACTGTATTTAATGAAACAAGTGTAAGATATACATATAATACATAACCAGATAAACAGTGTGTCTGTAGTACTCAAATGTCATTAGGAAGGCAGATTAGGAAAATAACGTCTAAAAAGAATCCTCAGGGAGGTGATGAAAACACAGGGTTGATAAGCACTTCAGTAGAATTCTTTCTTTTTAGAGTTCTGCCTGCTTAAGTAAGGAATCATCGGGTTTATAAAGTAGTACTAAGGAACATCATTTTTCTTACCACTATTTGGGTGGTCAGTCCTGAGCAGTTTATTGCTTTGGCACCTGTTTAGACTCTGACCAAATAAGTGCTATATACCAAATAAGTACCATATAGTTTTTTGATATGCTTTGATATTCTAGAATATTTGACAATTGATATCCTACTTAGTATACTAAGTACATTTAAGATAACGTTGATAATAACTAAATGAAAGGTTACCACCAGAGAAATAATCCAAGTAAAGTTCAATGATAAATCCAGCAGTCAGAACTTCTGCCAGAGTTGTTAATGTTCTATATTTAGGGGTTCTTATTAATATTCAAAATTTTAAATTAAACTTCTGTGTTCACCCTTAAATATTGCCATATTCTGGTTGCACTGTATCATTAGTGAATGAAGTGTTTATGTGTAAGTAAATGTTCTAATTAACTGAAATGCTAAGTGCTGAGGCTTCTTACATACTCTAGGCTTTGTTGTACACTTTATACTTTTACCAACTGCCATGCAGATTCGTATTCCTGTTTATTAATATGGGAAGGGGTTAGAGCTCTGAGAAATTGTAGGTATAGAATGCTTAACTCACATCATCACAACCTCCATTCAAAGCTCAGATCCAATAGTATCGTCTTCTAGTAGAAATCAACTTTAAAAAGTCTTGAGTATAAAAGCAGTACATATACTTCATCAGATTAGAAAATAATGAAACCACATACATACACAAAAAGCCCATATTCCATAAACCAAAATAACTTTTATGTTCCTTCCATTCTTTGTTAACTTCCTGGATAGTAGTTATCATTCTTAACTTTTTATTTGAAACTTCTTATTGATAGTAGGTGCTTCAAAGGGTGTTCTTAAAGAATATGTTTCTGTGAAATGGTGGTTTGCTTGTGGCTATTTTGTGGGCTTCTGATATTTATTCCAAATCTCACCATCCCCCCCCCCCCAAATTTCTATTTTAAAAAGTCAACTTTGGAACAACAAAATACATTAATTACTTATCTTTAGTCTACCTATTTACTTTACTCTCTACCCTTTCCATCTGTTTTTATTAGTTTCAACATAAATATAGAATATATTTTTTATATTCTACTTTAAAAACACAAATATCTTCCTATAACCTTTTCTGTTGCTCTAGTCCATAGTTGTGTACTAGTTTACTTTGAACTGGATTGAGTCTTCATGTATATTTTGTTTAATATGCCCATTATTGACTCATGCAGTTTTAAAGACATTTTTGAGTTAGTTCCTGTGTTTAAAAACTGGGAGAATTGACATTACAAATTTGGATTTCTGGCTTCTCTTAAAATGCCATTTGTTCTTGAACCATTGGACCTATATTCCTCTGTGACAGCACTTGGCAGTGGCTGTCGCATTTAGAGGGGCCATAGTCCCTCATTGCACATTGCTCCCTAGATGGTATATTATACTAGACTGCATTGCTCATTTAGAATATCTACCTTACAGTCTCTGTTTGAGGCTCATCCATATTAAAGCAAGCCTGGGTTAACTCTCTGGTTTTCTGCTAATAACTGTATCTTTTTATTTTACAGGAGAAGATGTATGGTCTTATGCAAAAGGTCTTCCTCACATGTTCCAGCAGGGTGGCGTATTCTACAATATTATGAAGAAAACCATGGGTATAGTTGCTTTATGACTTTATTCTTGGATAATATCTCCACTCAAGCTATTATAAGGTTTTAAGAAAGTTCAGATCATATTCTTCTAAAACAATTTCCAATGTTAGGGTATATATTCTTCATCATCAGTCTGCCTAGTTGGAATGGATTATTGTCCTGAGGTGGTCAACTATGTTTTCTGCTGTAATATTACTAAAAATCTATCACTTTCTTTTCCATTTTTTCTTATTTACATTGTGGAATTAGAGGCCAGTTTGTGTATAGTGCTAGTGTCCATCCCAGAATCAGATCATGCAGCGTTTTATTGTTGTTGTGTTCGACTGTGATTACTGTATAACTCAGTATTTTCTGGAGTCTAGGAAATAATTCACTTTAAATTTAACTTCTTTTCACATTGTGTATGTATTGTTTATAAAGATATGTGCAAGTGTGTAATGTTATCTTCAGAGTTTTAAGGTGTTAAGAGAGAGATTGCTAGTATGTATGTTTAGACACCATATGTTTTTTCAAAGATTTAATATAAATGCTTTTGGCTTCTGACTTTTATCAGTCTGGCTTTCTCACTTTTTTACCTACCTGACCTCTTTAGACCAAGTGCATAATCTCTATTTTATGTTTTTTCTTTCTCATGTACTTTTTTTTCCTTGTTAAAAAAACAAAACGCAATTTGGCTGTTCTAGAAATGTTCACACATATAAAAGTAGCAAGAATAATGTAATGAACCACTACTTACCTACCACCCAGGTTCAGTAATTATCAGTACATTTTTATCCATCCCCTCTCAAATATACTGTTTTAGAATAAATCTCAGACATAATTTCATCTGTAAGAGTTCAGTATGTATTTCTAAAAGTAAGAATTGTTTTTTTAACCTTAATACAATTATCACATCTAAAAGATATGAACAATAATTTTAAAAATATCACCAGGCAGTATTTAGATTTCCTTGATTTTTGATTGTTTCAAAAAAATGTGGTTTTTCTTTTGATTTATTGAATCAGGGACCAGAAAATGGCCAGTTGGCTTGCTTCTTTCCTCCCTCCCTCCCTTCCTTTCTTTGACAAGATAATTGAAACATAATTTGCATATAATAAAATTCATCCTTTTTAGGTGTATGGGCATGTGAATTTGACAAACATATATAGTCAGGTAACCACTAATGCACTCAAGATATAGAGTATTTCCACCATTCCAAAAAGTTGTCTTATGCCCCCCCCCCTTTTTTTTTTTTGCCTTATGCCCTTCTAATTAATCCCTTACCTCTATCCCTTGGCCCTGACAACCACCGATTTGATTTCCAACCCTGTATGTTTTCCTTTTTCATATCACCATATAAATAGGGCCATATAGTTTAATCTTTTGTGTCTGGCTTTTTTCTTTTTTGTGTGTGTCTGGCTCTTTGATTGAACATGGGGGTTGGCAGACTACTGCCTGTGGGCTATTTCAGGCTCACTGCCTGTTGTATATAAAGTTTTATCAAAACACAGCCACCCTTATGCTTACATAGGACTGCTTTCACAGTGCACTGGCAGAGTTGAATAGTTATGACAAAGACTATATGGTCTACAAAACCTAAAATATTTATCATCTTGCCTCTTTACAAAAAATGTGTGTCAATTTCAGTTTTTAATGTAATGCTTGAGATTAATCTGTCTGGTTGCATGCATTAATAGGTTATTCATTTTTGTTTATTTTTTTATTGCTGAGTAGTATTCCATTGTGTGTATATATCACATTTTAAAAATGCTATGACCAGTTGAAGGACATTTAGTTTGTTTTTAGTTTTGGGCTTCTAGGAAGAAAGCCACTGAAAACATTTGTGTACAGGTCTTTGTGTGAACAGATGTTTTCAATTTTCTTTGGTAAAGACTGAATACCTAGGAGTGGGACTGCTGAGTCATGTGATAAGTATATGCTCATCTTTATAAGAAACTTCCAGATCATTTTCCAAAGTGACTGGATCATTTTGTATTCCTTCAGCACTTGGTAGTATTGGTGTTTATTTTTAAAACTGTTCTAATAGATTTATATTATTCTCTCATAATGGTTTTAATTTGCATTTCTCTAATAAGTGATGATACGGAGCATCTTTTTGTGTACTTGATTGTACAGTGCTGTGCTTAGTCGCTCCATCATGTCCGACTCTGCAACCCCATGGGGATTATTCTCCAGGCAAGAATACTGGAGTGGGTTGCCATGCCGTCCTTCAGGGAATCTTCCGAACCCAGGTCTTCCACAGCGCAGGTGGATTCTTTACCGTCTGAGCTACCAGGGAAGCCTGTGCTTATGTGTATCTTGTTGTTATTTTTTGGCCCATTTTAAAATTGGTTTGAATTTTTTTTTAATTGAGTTTTGAGAGTTCTTTAGATATTCTGGGTACACATCATTTATCAGATAAGTATTTTGGGTATATTTTCTCCCAGTTCATAACCTGTCTTTTCATTCTCTCAACATTATCTTTTGAATATCAAAGGTTTATAATTTTGATAACCAATTTAACAGTCTTTTGTGATTCATACTTTTTGTGTCCTATCCAAGAATCTTTGCCTAACCCAAAGTCACAGAAATTTTCTTCTGTATTTTCTTATAGGAGTTTTATAGTTTTAATTTTATATGTAGGTATATGATCCATTTTGAATTGATTTTTTTAATATGTTGTAAGGTATGAGGTGAGGTTCACTTTGTGTGTGTGTGTGTGTGTGTGTACATATCCAGTAGTTGCTCCACCACCATTTGTTGGAAAAGGTATGCTTTATACATTGAATTATTGGATACTTGTATCAAAAATCAATCGACCATGAATTAGACACTTGAAAAATCAATTGACCATGAATTAGACACTTTTGAAAAAGGTGAATTATATACAGCATATAATCAGTAAAGTTACCTTTAAAGCCATCAGTTGACCTTATTCATGTGAGTCTATTTCTAGGATCTCTTTTCTATTTTGTTGATCTGGGTATCTCTCCTTCCACCAATACCATAGTCTTGATTACTGTATTTTGGGTTGAGAGTGGATATTCTTGCCTTGTTCCTGGTCTGAGGGGGAAAGCATTCAAACCTGTAGGTTTTTCAGAAATGCCCTTTATCAGTTTATTGATGATTTCTTAGTATTGTGAATGGATGTTGAGTATTATCAGATGCTCTTTCCCTGCATCTATTGAAATAATATTTTAAGGCTTTTCTCTTTAGTTTGGTGATAGTGTGAATTACATTGATTTATTTTTGAATGTTGAACCATCACATTCTGGATTCCAACTGCTGGTATTTTGTTGAGTGTTTTTTCGAGCATATTCATGAGGCATACTGGTATGTGGTTTTCTTGTCAGTTCAGTTGCTCAGTTGTGTCCAGCTCTTTGCAGCCCCATGGACTGCAGCACGCCAGGCTTCCCTGTTCATCACCAACTCCTGGAGCTTGCTCAAACTCATGTCCATTGAGTTGGTGATGCCATCTAACCATCTCGTTTTCTTGTTTTCTTGTAATGACTGTTTAATCAGGGTAATGTTAGCTTCAGAAAATAGAGTTGGGAAGTGTTATAGCTTTGATATTATTTTTTTTCTTAAATGGTAGAATTCACCAGTGAAGCCATCTGTTCTTGGAGTTTTCTTTATAGGACAGTTTTTAACTGTGAATTTAATTTCTTTAATAAAGTGCTCTTAAGGTCAATCCCTTTCTTGAGTAAGCTTTGTTAGTTTTGCCTTTAAGAAATCTGTCCATTTCATCTAAATTAGCAGTCTTATTGGCATGAAGTTGTTTATAATACTCCCTGTCTTTTTAATGTCTGTAAGGCCTGTAGTTCTGTCATTTCTGATACTGGCAGTTTCTGCCTTTCCTGTTTTGCTGACCAGTCCAGCTAATGATTTATCAGTTTATTGATCTTTTCAAAGAAACAGCTTTGGTTTCATAGGTTTTCTCTGTATTTTCCTAATTTCATTTTCATTGATTTCTGCTGTTATGTATACCTTTTCCTTCCTTATTCTTGCTTTGGATTTAGTTTGTACTTCCAAGCTTATTTAGGTAGAAGCTTAGATTATTGATTATAAAAATTTTTTTTCCTACTATAAGCATTTAAAGCTATAGATTTCTCTCTGAGCATCCCACTGCCCCCTCCCTTTTTTTCGGGCATCTTTTTCTTTTTGACTTTTCACCTGTCACTTCTTTCTTTCTTTTTTTTTTCCCATTTATTTTTATTAGTTGGAGGCTAGTTACAGTCTCTTAGAAGTTTTTGCCATACTTTGACATGAATCAGCCATGGATTTACTTGTGTTCCCCATCCCGATCCCCCCTCCCGCCTCCCTCTCCATCCCATCCCTTTGGGTCTTCCCAGTGCACCAGCCCTGAGCACTTGTCTCATGCATCCAACCTGTGCTGGTGATCTGTTTCACCCTTGACAGTACACTTGTTTCAGTGCTGTTCTCTCAGAACATCCCACCCTCGCCTTCTCCCACAGAGTCTAAAAGTCTGTTCTGTATATATGTGTCTCTTTTTCTGTCCTGCATATAGAGTTATCATTACCATCTTTTTAAATTCCATATATATGCGTTAGTATACTGTATTGGTCTTTATCTTTCTGGCTTACTTCACTCTGTATAATGGGCTCCAGTTTCATCCATCTCATTAGAACTGATTCAAATGTATTCTTTTTAATGGCTGAGTAATATTCCATAGTGTGCACACACTACCTTTCTACCTTTTTTTTTCTTTTTTTTCTACCTTTTTCTTCTTCCTACCTTTCGAAATATATTGATACCAGTTCATGTTTTTTTAAAGTTATTATTTAATTGTAATTGATCATAAGGCTCCCAGTAATTGGGGTCCGTATGCAGTGTCTTTCACAGAACTGAAAATAACTTCCTTCAGTTGTTTTTTATGTGTAGGAGGGTTGTGGTGGGTGGTATGAGGATGATTCTCTTGATTGTTTTCTAAATAGTTTTCTGTTTTCAGTTTGAAATTATTTTAAAAATGTTAGTTGTGATGCTGAGACAATTTAATGGGGGAAAGAATAGTTTTATCAATAAATGGTGCTGAGACAGCTGACTATCCACATGTAAAGGAATGAAGTTTGACCTCTGCCTCACACCAAATACAAAATTAACTCAAAATGTATAAAAAACTTGAGTATAAGTGCTAAAACTAGAAAGCTCTTGGAAGAAGACAGAGGCATAAAACATCTTGCTTTTGGATTAGGCAGAATCCTAATTGTACCAAAAGTACAAGCAACAAAAGAAAAAAGTACATAAATAAAAAGCAAAGTTTTGTGCTGCAAAGAACACCAACAAGAAAGTGAAATAATCCAGTGAGAGAAGATTTTGAATATTGTCTATCGGGTAATAGATTTGTATCTAAAATATAAAGAACTGAGCAGTAGTAAAAAGACACACAACCTGATTAAAAATGGGCAAAGACTCTGAATAGACATTATTCAGAGAAAATATATAAATGGCCAATAAGCACATGAACTCATGCTCAACATCATTAACCATAGGGAATTGCAAATCAAAGCCACAATGAGCTAGTACTTTACACTCACTAGAAAGGCTGTGGTCAAAAAGACAGATAATAAGAACTATTGGCAAGGAAATTGTGGTGGAAATGTAAAATGCTGTAGTCGCTTGGGGAAAAAGTCTGGCAATTTCTTCAAAAGATTTAAGATGGAGTTACTGTACAACCCAACAATTCACTTTCACATGTGAACCCAAGAGAAATGGACACTGTCCACACAAAACTGGTACATAAATGTTTGTAATAGCATTATTCATAATAGTCAGAAGTGGAAAGCATGCATATGTCTATCAGCTGATGACTAGATGAGTAAAATGTGGCATATACATACAGTGAAATATTACTTGGCAATAGAAAGAATGAAGTATTGGTACAGTCTTCATGGATGAACCTTAAAGATAATGCTACATGAAACAAGCCAGAAACAAAAGGCCATATACTGTATTATTTCACGTACACAAAAAGTCATATAAATGACAGAATAGGCCCACCTGGAGAATACATCAGTGGTTGCCTGGAGCCAGGAATGGGATGGGGGAAGGAAATGGGAGGGACTGCTAATGTGTTCAGGGTTTCTTTCTGGGGTGATGAAAATACTCTAAAAGTGATTGTGGTGATGGTTACACAACTCTGAATATACTAAAAAACATTCAACTGTACACTTAAAAATGGGTTAATTGTGTGTGTGTTAGATGTCAGTAGAGTCACTATGTTTTTCAAATGTTACCTGTGGTGTTTATTTTTATTAGGAGGTAGTTTAGAGCTCTGGAGTAAGAACATCTAACATCAAATTTTGGCTCTACTGCTTAGTCCAGTGTGATTTCTAAGCCTCAGTGTCTTTGTTTGTACAGTGGGTGTGATAATCTTGGGATTGTTACTAGGATAAAATGAGGTTGTGCACATAAAGCAGTTAGCCAGTGGCCTGGTACCTAATAATTACTTAGCTAATCCCAGCTGTAATTTGCAGAATTATTTAAAACTTTTTTGACCATCACGTAGCCATTTGAAATGGGCTACCATCAGAAGATTATTTTACCTTTCACATATAATTTCATCTGATATTTGTGGCAAAATGTTACCTGTATTTTTAGGGCAGATTGATTTGGCAGATCATTATCCTCATCCTGTGAGCAAAGACTCATAAAGTGTAAGATGCCCTCTTCACCCCCGAAACATACACCCCTACCCTCCGAAAACTGGAAAAGAACATAATTCTCTTACTTTCAAATCCACTCTTAACAGATGGATGGTTGTATCTATGTTTGAACAGACATATTGCCTAATGTAACAAATCAGCTTTTAATATTCCTAGTCTTTATGTTTGGAAAGGTGTTTTTAAATTAATTTGCTTAAACTGTAGTAAGTTTCCTTGCAGATGTTTATACAGAGATAAATGCAGAGATGAATGGCAAATTTAGTTTTAATACTTTTATAGATATCTAACCTTAACAGTATTTAGTGCTTTGTTTGGACTTTATAAACATGAAATTATGCTGTGTACATGCTCTGTGACTTTCTCTTATGCAGTACTTTTTTTCAGATTCATTCAAATTCATGGGCTCAACTAGTTTGTTCATTTTCACTGCTGCACAGTATTCTATTATCATTTTAATATAATTCATCCATTGTTCTGATTCACTTTAGGTAGTCTCCAGTTTTTTGATGTAAGAAAGAATGTAGCTGTAAATATTATTATACATGTCTGTTGGTATATATGTCCAATGGAATTGTTGATATAAGATATAGAAATTTTAATTTCTTAAAATTTAATTTCTTAAAATTTGGAGGACTGTGTAAGTTATGTAAAGCTTAAATGATTATGTTTAATCACAACACAGTATTTGCATTGATTTTTTGATGTGTATTTTAAAGTTTTTTAACAGTGTAAGAGGTCTAGAAAGTATAGAAATGGGGAACATGACCTAAAATTGCTAAATATTCCTCTTATACATACATTTTTGGGCATGATTATAATTACAGTACTTTCCTGCTATTTTACCATCATGCATATTTTACTGTCCATCTGAGGCATCATAGGTTGCTTATTTATATCAGTATTAGTAGCTGCATATTACTTTTGTTAGGTAGATCGCAGTTCTCTTAACCCCTCTCTTCTTGTTGAAAGCTTAGATTGTTTCCATTGTTTCATTGTTAAGTAATACTATGATAAATGTGTTGGGGCTATGATTCTCTCCAGGAATAGCCAAGGGAAAGCTTCACAGTGGAAACATGGAAGCAATTACAAAACCTTTTGATCTAAGAGAAATTAAAACTATTGACTGCCTGATGTATATTAGGCACTGTGGCATGTGCTTTGTATGAGTTATATAATCCTCAAGTAATTAGTGAATTAAGTACTGTCATTATTATACTTACCTGATTGTGTTATAATTATCTATTTATATCCATCTCCTAAGAATTATCTTATTTTTCCATCTTCAGGGTCTACTTTAGTTCCTGGCACATAGTGAGACTCAGTTGCTGTTATCTGTTGAAATAATTGTGTAAAACTTTTGCCTTGGGGAATCCCTGGCCTTACCATTCAAAAGTCTTTCTTCTTTGCTATCTTTGTTTCCTGGGCCATGGTTTACAGATCTCTGAGGTAGGGGATTGGTAGAAGGTAAAACTTGATTTCAGGGTTTTACTCTGAAAGGTATGATTTAGACATCTCTGATTTTAAAGTTTGTCCATCCATTTTTGTCGGTTCTCTCTGCCAAAAATGTTGTTCTGCTAAGAGGAAATTCTCGTTGGATCTTTAACTTACTGCCAAAATGAATGTTTATTTGAACTTACTCTCATTCTGTAGCTTTTTTCAGAAAGGAAAAAACTATTCTTAATACTTGTAAGACCACCTAATACCCACAAAGCATTCCAGATATCACTTATCCTTCCCCTCTCTGAATTTCCATAGTACTTGCTAACAGTCCTCTTCCTTTTAAACTAGTTTGCTTTGACTTTATATTTTGCTATAAACATACCCATATATTATTATATATTCTCTATTTCATTTTTTTAAACATAGAAAAATCTATGGTTTGATAAAATTTGAAAACCCTGATTTTTGCATATTTGGAGTATACTTACAGTGTAAAAACATGTAAAAAGATATTGGATAGCTTAAAACACACATGCAGTTTTTTTATGCCCAGGCTGGATAAAGTGTAAACATTTGAAACACCATGTAGTGAGACCAAACTCTTCAGCTGGAAAATGAAGGGAAGCCTGCTTTAAAGTTCTTAACCTCTATTGCTGCATTAGCTGACTGTGAGAAAAGATATCACACTGGGCCATTTGAGCTGCATCAACAACTCACTCTTATTTGGGTGGTTCTCATCTGCCAGAGAAGAATAAGAGTTGTAACATGGAATACAGCTATTTCAAAGGAGTTGAAGAAGATTAATTTATTGTGACGGAATATCTTATTTTGAAAGTTCATACTTTTTATATTTGTGAAAAATACATATATACACACAGGAAACTTTTTATTCTGGTATTCTGTAATTTAATAGAATTACTATGATTTTTAATTCAGTATTATGCAACATGTGTATATAACACTTCGCCCTTATAGGAATTTTTAAAGTTTATAATTTGAATTTTATTAAATGAAAGTCCATTTTCTTATTGCTTTACTATAAACAAATGGCTTACTAACACTATTGCTAGTGTTTTTTTAATTAAACTCAGCTGTTTGTTTCAAGACTAACTTTCCTAACTTTGTAATAGTTAATGATATATATTTTTCAAACCCGCTGGGGAACTACTTTAAGGTTTATGGTGGTATTTCTTTTTTTTTTTTTGTAATGTGTTAAATTCTGTTAATAAGTATAATAAATTATTTGCTAATTAATTTTGTTTTGAAAGCTGTTACCTGTAAATTATTATTGGAGGTTTACTCTTTCAATTATAATTGTCTTTCCTCCACCTTTAAAGTAAGATTTTAATGTGTTAAATTCTTTTTCTTTTCTTAAGGTATGGCTGATGGCAAGCATTGTACTTTCCCACATCTGCCTGGCAAAACCTTTGTCTATAATGCTTCTGAAGATAGACTGGAGTTGTGTGTGGATGCTGCAGGACATTTTCCCATCGGTCCTGATGTTGAAGATTTAGTTAAAGAGGCTGTAAGTCAGGTTCGAGCAGAGGCTACTACAAGAAGTAGGGAATCAAGCCCCTCACATGGGTTATTAAAACTAGGTAGTGGTGGAGTAGTGAAAAAGAAATCCGAGCAACTTCACAATGTAACGGCCTTTCAGGGGAAAGGGCATTCTCTAGGAACTGCATCCAGTACCCCACACCTTGACCCAAGAGCCAGGGAGACTCCAGTTGTAAGGAAGCATACAACAGGGACAGACTTTAGTAGTAGTTCCATTAAAACAGAGCCTTCTGTATTCACAGCTGCTCCTAGTAACAGTGAGCTTATTCGAATAGCTCCTGGAGTAGTTACAATGAGAGACGGCAGGCAGCTTGATCCTGATATGGTTGAGGCCCAGCGGAAAAAATTGCAGGAAATGGTGTCTTCTATTCAAGCGTCGATGGACAAGCACTTGCGAGATCAAAGTACAGAGCAGTCGCCATCTGATCCTCCTCAAAGGAAAGTGGAAGCTGTGAGTTCTTCTGTGAAGTCTGGGAGTCTTCAGACTGGCTTACCTGAATCTTTTCCTCTAACTGGTGACACTGAAAATTTGAATATAGAAACAGCCGACGACTGTGTGGCAGGGGCACTGGAAGCAGCATTCGCTGCAAGGTCAGAAGCACAAAAGGGAAGTTCTGTGGAGGAGCCCGAAGAGATGGATAGTCAAGATGCTGAGATGACAAACACAACTGAGCCAATGGATCACTCTTGATTTAATTAGAGGCTAATAAAGGCAGAATGTTTATTGTGAATATGTAATATTTGTTGGCTGGGCCACATAACTTGATTAGCCATTAAAAAATCTTGTACGTATATAATTCAAAGATTATATCTTGTTATTCAGTGCATGATAGCAAGTGTGTGATTGGCAATAGCTTTTAATATACTGCTGCCCAGGCTGGCTCTGAATTCCTGTAAAATAGTTATTAGATCTGCTTATATGAGTTACTTCCATATATGTGGTTCATTGGAAGTTGTTTGTAATTTTAATTCCATGAAAGTCTTAATGTTGCAAACATGAAGATTCTCTTGCTATATCTGTTTGATTTCTGAAAAGGCTAGAACTGGGGGAAAATAAGATTTTGCTAATGTTGATGTCATCAGGATAACCATTCCACATACTTATTAGTGTGTCAAAGGATTTATGTAAATTTGAAGGTTATCTGAACTAAATTGTATCTTGAAATTCATAAAGGATATGTTAGACACTGGGATCCTGACATTTCTGTGAACGTAAACACATTCATAGAGATATGTATTCTTGGTGAAAATATCTTGAAAATGTAGTGTAATGATATATAACATTTTGCTGATTTGAGCAAGCTTGGGGGAAAGTATCTATTCTAGAATGATAAAGTCAATGTGATTCAGTAATGTTGCTGTCTGAGCCAACACAGACAATTGTGTGCTCTGGTGTTGATAATATGTTACCATTATTTTGAATCCTGGCCTGGTCAAGTACCACCAAATTTTTGTTCTTTAATCTTGCAGAAAAGTTGATTGCAAAGTGTGGTAGAAAAATAATAAAAAAAATAATGGTAGCAGTAGTTAATCTCTAATTTCAGAGTTTGTCAGATTCACAGAGAATTTATAAATAAGAATTTATCTTTATGAATGGGTTACATTGTTCTACAATTTTGATCAATGGTATTTAAGCTTGTATATGCTAAATGTCTTTGAGCCCCTCTGAACCAAAAATGTTTCCTTTTTTCTTTTCTTAGAATCCATTAGATTTTCTTCATTTGTAGCTTCACTTGGATTTGGATGCAAATTTGACTGCATCATACCCTGATCAACTGGGCATTTGCTTAAATAGTGTATTCATCAAACCTTTAGTGCCTGTTTCCTCAAGAAGCAGCTTTCATGTTTACTCCTTAAAGAATGTTTATCCTGAGATTGGCATCACACTATTTTATCCTATTCTGCAAATCTGTATTCTGAAATGTACACGTTAATCCATCTTTTTCCTCTGTTCACTGAAATTAAGTTGAATTTGAATGGATGAAAGACAAAATGTATGTTAATACAATCTCTTATCTAGAGCATTCAAAGCCTGGCTGTCTCTGTTTGCTCGTGTGATAGATGCAGGACCATTTGCATTTTAAGAAAATGTACATCAGAAAGTAAATTATTGGGTGTTTAAAAATCTCAGCCTATTGACTCATAAGGAATATTGACAGTACTTTTGTTTCCAAATAAGGGAGGTTTTGGTTTCTTTCTATGAAAGTGTCTCTGCCTGAATCCACTTATTAAACAAACTACTCCATTTTGAATAGGGAAAGAATGGAAACTCTATAGACATTTTGCAGGTGATATCTGAGCAAGATACACATTTGGGTTAGTTTTATCACATTATCACCTGTTTAAAATCACATTTTACTCCATTCTTCTAAATTTACTTTCAAATACCTTTCTCTATGTCTATAAATAGAAGGAACTTTTAGAACTTTTATATTGTGTATTAGTTTTACGTAAAGAACTGTGGCTACCAAATAGTATTTCCCGTTTAGTTAATGCAGGTGACTTCTCTGTATTAAATTTAAAAATTACAGATACCACTAACCACTATAATTATTTTTGGCTTTTTCAGCCACTGAACACCCCTCCCTTTTTTTTTTTAGTTTAAATACAGGAAAACTGTTTCACAAATACATTGCTTCCAGGTAAACGACATAATCACCTTTTCTTTAGCAAATATTTTCTTCACCTGTGGCTCAGTATGTTTGATAGCTTACAAATACATTTTATAGCATTAAGTAAAAACATCAGCTACACATTTTATCTCCCTATTAAATCTCCCTTTAGTCAAGTTAGAGTGCACCTGTGGACAGTAGAAGGCAGGCTCAATCTCTGACAACAGTATTAATTTCTTTTGCTACGACAGTGCTGTTTAGAAGCTGGTTTAGGTGTGAATATTTTAATAATAGTTTGGGTTCTCCCTTGATAAAGAATAAAAGGCTTGATGCTGAGAATGGTCAGGTTTCTTGACATTATTTTAAATCACCCAAGATAAATGGTTGCAGGAATTAATGGATTTTAGAAGTGGGCCAGGAATCATCTTCACAAAAAAGTCTTAGAATTTCTTGAAGTTCTAGACTATCATTATTTGTCCTTCCATATGGTTACCATCATCAAATACATAAATTACAGGAATGGTTTTTAGAACTACCGTTTGTGATTGCCACAATTTTGAGTCTAAACTGGGGATCATAAATTAGTTAAAATATTTTCTTAGCTCTCCATGTAACATAATAACTCTAATTCAATCCTATAGTTAAATTATATTTGCAGTGTTTAACTGAAAGTTGAAGTGTAACTGTGAAGTTTTTTCTTCAGTAATCCATTTTATAGTTAGTCATATGAAGATTGAATTGATGACCCACAGCCCAGGTAGAGTTGAAGATGATGTGTCTCTAGAATACTGATGTGAGAAACTGGTTGAAATTGAAGAAAACAAGACACTGTCAAATATTATGAGCTAGAATATGATGAACACCCAGGGAAGGGTTACTCAGGAACTAAAGAGCAAGTCTAAGGCCCATTTCCCCTCCTTTCACTGTATTTCAGGTATTTTATTGGAAAAGTTAAGCTAAAGACCTGAGACGTTTAGCAAGTGCTATTGACTGTGAAATTTGCTTTAAATCTTCTGATGAGTTTTAGTTTGGTTTTTTGCAATCAAGAGTCTACTGCTTGCAATTAAGATATCAGTCTGAAATGCATCTATGGTTCCCAGCCACACAGGTCCTTATTGCCATTATTTTTAAGAATCTAACTTTATTGGAAATTAGCAGACTTTTGCATATGATCTGTTACCTCAGGGAAGATCACTTGCTAGCAACTCACTACTAATGACAGGTTTTTGAGAATTGTACTGACATCACATGTTAGCTACTAAATGCAGAATTTATAACAGTATTATTTTATGTAGTTACTAACTGGCTGCTAGTGAACATTTCTTTAAAAAATTTAGACCTCACTAATAACTAACCTTTAGGTATGAAATAAACTTGTAATTTCTGCCTTTAATTAAGCTTTGGTCAATACAGTGACAATATAAAACATTTATTTCAGAATATCAGTACCATTTTGTTTTTATTTTTCAACAAGAATTTTAATTGGCCCATACATAAAATACCGCAGAGCAGAATTTTAAGATTCATGGTTCTCAAAACAAAGTTTCCATATTAAGATTTTCATAAAAGCTTTTGCAGAACTGAATTAAACTCCACTCATCTTAATATGACTTTAAAATCACCTTTTATAAGAGTAATAGTGAGATACATACTCTAAAGTAAGCTGGGATATGGATACATCCTACATTTCAAGGTTATCATGTAATTTAACAAAATTGCATAACCTCAGGCTCTTCACAATATAATTTTTCAAACCAGAAGTATTCACTTGAAAACACCACAGTAGAATGTTTACTTAACAAAAGGGGAGCTATATTACCAATGTAAGATTTATAGTTAATTGTAAGTTCTGCCATTCTTAATAATTCTTTGAGATGCTAAGTGTTTAAATTCATATCTAATGATACTTAAATCGTGGGAATTTTAACATTTGTTCCAAAATAGCAGAAATTGTAAAAATTGTGAATTATTGGAGAAAATGCCATTACTTGTATATCTGACATTTACTTTTTTTAAATTATGGAATCTACATGCTTTTGTAGTATAATATTAATATGATTATTCTCTTGTAAAAGAAAAGGAAAACTAGTAAAAAGTTTTAGTTGATGTTATGTGCTTGTGAGTATCAATTACTTAGTATTTGAAATTTTAAGGTATTGCATACTTTCCTTTAGAATGCACAAGTCCCTTCCTGAGCTTTTATGCCTGTGGTAGAGCAATAAAAGCCTGAAAAGGTTGTCAGTATTTTTAGGTTCATTTGACTTTGAGAATTAGTGCCAAGAGCTGGAGGATCTGCTTTTCGGAGGGAAATGTTATTTAGAATATGTAAAAATAAGTGTAATAGTGTAAATATTTAGAAAAAATTAAGTAGCAAGTGCTTTAACTGCTGAATAAAATAGTATAGATGTTCTACCATCCCTAAGGCACTGGCTGTTATCCATTATTTCTGATTTTGTGATTGCTGTATATATTACATGTGAGTAATAATTGGTAATAGTGTATCATATCTATATAGAGTTCTACAACACACCTCACTGTACAGTATTTGAAAGTTTTATATCAGTAATAAAACTATAATACATACTGATTTCCCCTCAACTTCTCCATATTAACTTTTTAAACTAATTTTCTATTCTTTAGTTTCCTGGAATCATATCTAATTATTAAAATGCATGAAAATATAGTTCAGTTTTATAAAGGAATTCTTAGTGTAATAAAGATTTTTTTTAAAAAAAACTTCTTTCAGTGGAATATCATATAGGGACAGTGAGTTCTCCCCTTAATGCAGATTTCAGTGCAAATGAAATGGATCCAATTAGAAAAGAGCAAGCAAAGTTTCCTTAGACATATTACATAATTTTGTCGTGATGCTTACTGAATCACATGATTAATAAATCACATGATTTAACAAATCACATTTGTTAAAGATGTTCTAATAGAGAACTTGTTTTTGTGTTTTTTAATGCTAGAGGTAATGAAGGAAAATATAGAAAATAGTATTAAATAACACTTGTATAGCTTAACAACACAGCTGATATTTTAAATTTTAAGGTATATGTTTAATGTCCATTTTGTTAGA